CTTGAATTCTTGAATGTAAGCTTCAAGTGTGTGCGGTCCATAAAGAGTGGATGCTCCCTGAAATGTGAAAGAGAATTAGAATTACAAAAATTCCCAAGTCTGGAGGACTTACATAATGCAGCTTAACGGACAATTTAATACCAGGTGATATGAAAGACTGTAGTAAGAAAGACAATGGAAGATGAAGGATGAGTGACTCGAACCTCGTATCTCTGCACTTTGTACTCTTCAAAGGTGGTAACATACTGTGAATATGTATTTGTTAGCCCGGCAATGACTACATGGACATTGTTGTCAAATTCTTTCCTACCTCCAGAGGTAAGGACCCTCTTAACAGCGTCACGGAGACGCCTTCCAGCCATAGTTGTAAATTCTGAAAGAAAATAACCAATATTATTAGAAATACATCCTGACTTGCTGTGAATAAAGATAAAGTCCACTAACAGAAAAAGATGATATGAAACTTCTTTAGGCCAATTCCTGCTCAGAATATAGGAAAATCCTCTCGAGCATTCAGTACAGTGGGAATAACAAAGTTAAGGGCGTAAGTGGAATATGATAGGTTTGCTTTCACCTCCAGGTACAGAGAGAATGACAAGTTGGCCAATTCGCAAAATTTGAACTGGTAGTATTGATGGCTGCATAAATAATTCAACATATATCCATCAGTTCCACATCAAAATTAAAAGAAAACTAAAGATGCAGACAAATTGTCCGCATATATTACACCCTACAAATGAATATCAAATTATCTGCAGATATTACATCTGACAGTTGCATTGTCTTTGATGTTGTAAGTAAGCCGAGTGATAAATATGCTGTGTTGCACTGTTGTATAATTCTTCAGAAGGAATAATTTACATGCAGACCTCAATGGGATGTCCCATGGAGCATTCAACATGTCCAGTTCTTCCACAACCACTGTTACTCATAGGCTATTTTGATATAAAAATTGAAAGCCAACATACAAACTTACTGCCCAGTCATATGGTTCCTTCATTTCCCCAGTATCAAGTAGAATAGGCTTTGGATGCTGGCAATTGACCTGCTCTTGGTCCGGTGCTTTCAGAGAGTCCCTTACCAATCTCCAGAAGGCATTTCCCTAGAGAAGCACACAAGAAGAGAATCATCACTTGAGTTATTTAACCAATTAAGGTTTTTATATGAAGAAGGGTCAAACATGCTCCAGAAATTTCTTACCTTGTCATCTCCCTGCTTGAAATCAAAAGCTCCAGGCCCATCAGTGGTTCCTGCAGCAAAGGCAAAGCCCATGGAAGCCGGGCAAGTTTTCACCACCTCATTAGCCCCTCCAACTTTAGGAAGTGAGACCTCAAGGCTTGAAAAATCTATGTATGCATGTTGGGATCCAACCTTCCCCTTCAGCTTCTCAGTTGCTTTGTCAAACAGTTCGACAGCTTTTCTGAATTGCCTTTCTCCTATTATGCGAGTGCTCTCAAATTCATCCGGGTAACTGCCAAATGAAGAAAAAAGGGTTTAGTTTCAGCTGAAAACGAAAAGGAAAAAATGTTTGTGTCATATATTTGACCATCGTATGAAATCCTAAAGAGATTGTAGAAACATGTACCCTGGTCCTCGGCCATAGCACAATTCATTTTTACCATTGCAGGTACTGTGATTGAAATCACATGGAAGTCCAGTGTCTATGCAAAATGCACCAAGAACATTTGGGCTTACATCACCACAATTTGATTGACAGAATGCAGATACAAATTGAGGCCTTTCAGCTTTCATTAAGGCATTCCTAACCCGTCTTGCAACACTTGAAAGCCTTGTCACGATTTGTCCTTGAGAAGACTGAAAGGAGGCGGCAAGTTTCATCAACTCATTTCCTGTTCCAAATGTACTATATGTTATTAGAAGGGAAGAGGCTTGAGACACAGTCTACATTAAATCATGGACAAAAAGATTTCAATCACCATTTCCATTATCTTTAGGAACTAGGCTTGAGACTCTTCTGGGGACTCTGCCAGTACCTGATCTATTGGAAGATAGACCATCAAAACCTCTCACAACACCATGCCGTTCAAACCAGTCCTCCATGAATCTAGCGGCAGCTCCTTTGTTATCCCCACTTATCAACGAGTTTGTACGACTCATGGAAGTTCCATGAGTTGCAAACCAGTTAAAGCTACCAACAGCGCCCCACTCCTGATCTTCAAATTTTATGAGAGTCATTTCTTTATCAACATCAAACTTATATTTGCTCCGCTCTTCTGCAGGATTGCTGAGATAAGCACTTGGACTACGGTTCACACCAGCATCTAAGAGCTCTCCTATGAAACCATGAGGATAGATTAAAATAGCTTCAATTAGGGAAGCTACTCAATATTCATCTACTTATATAAGAAGGGTTCAGTTTATATTCCAAAATTCGGCTTTGGAGAAGATCAAGTAAAATGACAAATGGTCATTCAAGGATATAATAGGTAAACAAGTTACAAGAATAGAGTAATTATGAGTCAGTTTTCTTACCTTTGTTCACAAAAACTGACCCTGGACGAAGGTTTTCATGGGCTTGGATTATGCTTTTCTCAATGCCATCAACAAGAACATCAAATGACTGTCTTACAAATCCAAGAGATGTAACAATATATACAACATATTGAAGGTAGCCCCCAGGCCCAGCATGAGTGTGAATCCCACTAATTGCCACATTCTTCTCTGTATAAAGCTCCCCATACCTTTCACACACACACCGAAAAAAAAACAAGGAGCAAAATCTCAATAAGAAAAAACCAAACTTTTAAATCTCAATGAGTAAAGAATCGAACTTTTTAAAGAAATAAGAAACGTCTGCTACCAGGAGGGTTCTGTACCTCACTTTCAATCTCTCAAGAAGTTTAATTGTTACAATTTGGGAGGCCATGCACGCATCAAGGTTCACGAAAACTACACGGTTGCCCTGCAGTTCTGCTACAATAAATGTACGAGCTCTGAGCCTGAAGTGAATCCCAGATGCAGTCTGCTCAGCATTTGCATAACCCATCATATTAACATCAGCAGCAGGACCTGTTATGTCATAGCTTCCAAGGCCAATCAAATAATTGGAAGCTGATGAAGAAGACCCCTTAACATTTTCTAGTGCCAACACCAGCAGGAAAACTCTCAACAACAGTGTGGTATGCTGAAGAGAAAACATCTCCTCCTTAGCTAGCCTTTTCCTGTAAACTGAGAAGTGGGAAATGCTTCTTTCAATTCATTCTTCCCTTCACTCAAACTTTAAACTCTAGAAAAAGAAGAAGAAGAAGAAGAAGAAAAGTAGATGTTTAAACTTACCTGGATGAATGAGACAACTTCAACTTTTACAGTGAGAAAGTCAGTAACTTTGACAATGAGAAAGTCAGTAAAACCAAAATCCAAAAGCAGATTTATTTAAGGAGAGACTGTCGGGTGCTTTTACAAAGACGAAGCTTCTTCGTGTCATTTGGGGTCATTGAAAGGAAACCCATAAACAGAAATGGATGAGATGAGAGATTTTGAGAGCAGCAAGATTTAGGTTCTGTTGGCGCTATTACTGAAACGCACCGCTTTATACATACGCAAACCGTCGACATGTTTCTAGAAGTGAGTGGGGAGAGTGTGAAAATGCTGAGCAATTTATTCAGCTGAAATTGTTTTTATTGCTTTGGTAGGCCAGGAGAGCTCATGAAGTCATGATTGCAAAGAGCTAGAAGAAAAGTGCGTGGCGCACGAGAATTCGCAGATCAATGTGGATGCGTACTTGACTTGACTTGGTAGAGGCAGTAATGAGCATTGTGGCTGTGGTGGATATGAGCACTGAGAAACCAACCCCCCCACCTTCTTTTCTCTTCATTGTCCTCCATGCTTCAATGGAGAACATAGTCGATCTACATGACGCATTGAAATGGCATGTTTACTTTATTTATAAGGCACCGTTTGGTTCATGGAAAAAGAGACTTGGGGATGGAAAATCAATTGCTTTTCCATGTTTGGTAAGTTGAGGCATGAGAAATGATTGCCTGACACATGGAAAAGTATGAGGAAAGTGAAGCTTTCTTCCTAACTTGGGTTTTGTTTTCCCTCCTCATGAAAAAGTTTGGAAAAATAAGCCAACATTAAATGCACGTTTTTCATGACCATTTTGTTCCCATTAACAATTTATAATTACAATATATCATTAAATGCATTTTTTTATTTGATTTAATATGAGTATAATTGAAAAATTATACAAACTTTGTTTTCCATTCATACTCAAAACAAACTTAGGAAAAGAAATAAAGTGATATCTCCCAATTTCCTCTCAAATCCATTGAGGTGATTTCCTCTCAAATCCATTCCTTGAACCAAACAAGGCCTAAGGGGTATTTGAAATTATTCTCATCCTCCACTTTTCATATTTACTTTATCTAAAACGAGTATTTGAAATTATTCACATCCTTGATTTTCCATGTTTAACACAAGAATATCAGAATCATTCCAATTCCCGACTTTCTATGCATTTATTAACACAAAAAAAGAAAGTTTAAGCAGGATTGATTAGGAAGGAGTAGTTGACATCGTTTAACATGCCACAAAGGAGATATGAGATTGAGCCTCATTCATTCAAGAACTACAACTACAGTTCTCTACTCAAGTTGCCGAAACTGCATTCTACATTTTCATAGTTCGGCAACATCTAAAGGCCTAGAAAGGCTCTCAACCATTCATCATCTCTTCCACGGCTGAGGAATAAATACAGAACTACCCACCGACGGGTTTGGTAGGCAGTGATATCAACAGAGTCGTAGGTGGTATCATATCAACCTTACTCTAAACTCAGCACTCCTCATTAACGCTACCATTACCACTACCGGAGGTTGCGGTTTACTGTACTGCGACAAAACAGATGTGTCTTGCTTTATGAGTCAGGGCTCCTAGAACATAACATTGTACTTTTAACATAAGCCTTGTACATTTTGGTGTTCTTTTCTAAAGGAATACACGCTTAAATAACATGCAGATAATAGTCTCACCAAAAATAAGTGCAGATAATTGACGCTGGAATGGAAATAAACATAAAACGAGTTTAACAAGGTGCATATTCAAGGCTAGCAACAAGCATCTTAATAAATGTCTCACGTTCCTCAGTACAATCACATTTTGAAAGTCTAAACACGATTCTAAATAGAGTAAAACCAAAACTTCAAAATGCTTCACCTCCAATCCATTCGATCATCTACATTAGCCACATACCTGCAAAATAAACAAAAAGAAGGTGACTACAAGAAACGGCAAAGTGCAAGTATCAAAGGCAATTAGTTTACTCTCAAAATAATGAAACCCAATCTCACAAAACTATCAGTCCTTAAGGAGACATCCTGGTGATGAACCCACCCATTTGCATAAAATAGCCAAATAAATCGCATAATTGTGAAAACAAGTAAAGGAAGAAAAGGCAATGCTGCTTTCATTCATAATCTCTGCTCAATGGGTATTTGTTTTTATAGAAAAACAACATATATATCTAGTTCAGCAATGGGTGATAGTTATATTAAGCTCTTCTACACACAAAAATCTACTCAGGAAATTTGTTGTAAGCAACAACGCGTTAGAATATGGACAATAATAATTGAAATCGCAAAGCACCAAAACTGATCATTTCATTTGTTCAGACACCAACTAAATTCTCAAACAAACACTCAAAACCATAAAATGAAAAATATTGCGGTACCTCAAATGTTGCTGGGGTACATGAAAACCCTGACTCTAGCTCCCTGTTCAATTAGCAAAAACAGCTCAATCAACAAATTGAATTCCAAATAATCACACCAATCCAAGCAAAAACATAAGATTCAAACTTTCATGAACTGAAAACTTTACCATGGATTTGGGGGGAAGATTGGACTTGAACTTGGCGCGAACGACGCCACTGTTACCATGGGGCCTAGAGACCTTGCCCCAAATGCAACGGTAGTGGCTGCCGTTCTTCTTCACCTTGGCCTTGTATATGTACGCCAAGCGCTTACCAGCGTACCAGGCCACCTCTTCCTTAGTGTTCACATTCTCGATCTGAATCAGCGACGCACTTGGGTACTGATTCGACTTGGACCTGTAAAAAACCAAAACCCATGTCAAAAATCCAAACACCCTTAGCTTCAAGCCCAGATAAGAAATTTATGAACTTCGTTTCAGTACCTCTTGTATCCAAGAACAGTTCCTCGCACGTAGAGTCTGCGAAACAATAAAAAGTCAGAAAAAAATGAAGAAAATTTAGATTTTCTCAAACTAGTTGAAGAAATTAACAATATGGAAGTTGAAGATTTTGAGGACCTGATGCGCTCTCCTTGGCGGCCCTTCACCATTTTCGAATGAGCTATGTGCCTCTGGTGCTGACTGCTGGTGTTTTAAGGAGACGGAAACCCTAGCCGAAGACGGAGAGGTTTATATATGGAGAGAGGAGGTATATGGTGTGAGCGAGTGCAATGTTCAATTAGTGTACTCGGCCAATGTTATTTTTGGGGCTATTGGGCTTCAGACCAGGCCCAATTATAAAACCTTTAGCGGTTCGTCCTTTCCCGCTATGTACTGTAGAGCCAATTCGTCTACCGCACCGCAAACCAACCCTTCAATTCAATGCGATAGTTTTGTTTGACTCGATTTCATTTCCTTACTGGCGAAGTAAAAATCCCCCACACCACACTATTATTTAATCGACCGATCTCCAACTCTCTTCTTCATCACCCGCATTGAAGAACAATGGAGGAGCCTCTGCTTCCTGGTAAATTCTACTTCCCAATTGCAATGCTCTTCAATTGCATAGATTTGAAACTTGAGTTGATATTTCATTTTTATTGATGGGTTCTTTTGATGTTTTGTTCTTTTTTGTTTTTGTGTCTGTGGCCATTGAGTGAAGAGCAAAGAAGTGAATTGGGAGAGAAGGGGAGTGAGAAGTGGAGCTCGTACCAGTACGTGGGAAGAGCTGGCTCTGTGATTCCGACGGCTTCCTTGGCCGGAACTGAAGTCAGCGTTGAAGAGATAAGGTCAGCGGCTGCTGATTCTGATCACTACCCACCTTCTATCCATGCCGCTTTGGTTAGTTCGCCGGAGCCTGATCCTACCGGTAAGCATCTTCTTTTTGTGTGTTTATATCCCAATTATGCTTTTTGCAATCTGGGTTTTGCGTTTTGATTAATGGGTAGCTATAATTTTTTATAAAAAAAAAATGAGATTTCTTCCAAAAGTAAACACTTTTTTTTATCTGCTGTTTGGCCGCTAAGAATGAGTGAAAGAACAACTTCAAGGTCTATGCTTTTTAGCTTCGGAATTGTTTTGAGATTGAGACCAGGAAAGCTTCCACTCAGCTGATTCCTCTAGAACAATATGGCTAAGTTGATCACATAAAATGTTGGATTAATCGATTTTTCCCGTTCTTATTTGGTTCTCTCATCGGGCAAAAGAGGGTTACAACTTAAAACATTGGACTTTTAAACCAATGATCTTTGCTGTCTGCCATTATTGTCATTAGATGTATTGTGATGGATACAAATTATGATCCCTTTTTGCAGAGCAAGCTGTCGCATATCAAGGTGGATATGGAGGAGGTTTTTGTGGCACCACAAATGAACTCCATAGGTATGTTTTAGGCTCATAAAGTGCTAGGGAAAGTCAAACTCCTAAGTGAGAAGTTCTACTGAACTAGATAACTTCGTTCATTTCAATATGTTTTGTGCGCCTATTACTAAGGGATCATGTCTTGAATTGGCTGGTGGAATGGGCCACAGATTATAAGGACTTTTAATTCATTATTGTCTATGTTGCTTTTTTGTTTCTTTAAAATTGAAAAACTTGGAAATGCCTGATAATGATGCTGAGGTTCAGGGGCATGAGTTTTAGCTCAAGTGACATGGGGTAGGGTGGGAAAGTGGTAGGTCTTGAGTTCAGGGGGCATCTCCGAGCTCTCCCTCTTTTTCAGGCAGGTTTCCCCTTGTCATTTTTCTAAACCCTAACCTCTTCCCTCATGCTCAGAAGATTTTTCTTTTTCTTTTTCTTTAATTTGTAACTCTTAACTTTTTTTTCTTCTTATAGACTTGTGTAAATGTTTATATTAACCATTTTACTAGTCTGTGGAAACTTCTTGTGGCAATTTTCTCAAGTTGAACATTGTAGTGGGATAGAAACTGCGTTCCCTTCTTAATTTTCTTTCTAAACAAAATATTTATGTATAGGCAAATACTGGATGAAGTAGAGATACGAGAGTTGCTCATTGATCATGTTGGCCATAGATGCTGTTGGGGAAGTCGTCCCGCACGGACCTGGAAAATTCAAAAAGTGGAAGATTGCAACGTTTATGTGGGAACACTAGATACTTTCATTGAAGAGAGGGAAACCATCAGAGAAACAGAGCCATACCTTGGTGGCAAATTTGATGGAAAGGATAAGGGACCAGAACTTGGAATCTGGGAATTGGATTTAAAGTCTCAGTTTCCTGTTTTGTTTATACCTTATAAAGAATCACGGGAGATAATTCCTCATTCTGAGTCCATTGATAAATGCTCAGGTAAAGATTCCGGAACTATGGAGTTTGCATGGTCATGAGGTTGAACTTTTGACTTAATATATGTTCCAGTTTGTATTTGTATAATTCTCTTATATATTCTCTTGTAAGTACCTCTTTATGTTCTATTTCTTCTTTGATAATTTTTGGGTATCATCTAGGGAGAAAATCGTTCCCGTAGCTTTATTTATAGATTTTGTTGTTGTTGTGATCTAACAAAATGTTCGAAAAGATTTGCAGGTTGTGCAGGACGAGGAGATTCTGTGTGTCCTACATGCAATGCAAATCAAGAACCTGGATTCTACAAAGAAAATCTGATGACTCAGTGTTCTGCTTGTCATGGAAGGGGTTTAATTGCTCATAAAGATGGATCTGACTCCATGTGAGATGCTTATGTCTGCCTCATCTAATTATAAATAAAATTGTGTTCTAATCTGGTTTCTGCCTGTAATATGAGGGCCATCCAATATAACCTTTCACATTTCGTCCTTTATTCAGCATTAGATATTTTAGACTTTTAGTGTATGTAAATAATGGAAGCAGAACAACTTGTAATTGTTGAAACAGGATGCCAATTACTAAAATACTGTATTAACTGGTGTGGATATTGTCTATGCAGATGTGGGAGTTGCAATGGTAAGGGAAAGATCCCCTGCGCAACTTGTGGATCTCGTGGTCTAATTAAATGTTTGACATGCCAAGGGAGTGGTTCTCTTTTGACACGCAATGTTGGCCTTGTTAGATGGTATGCATATTCGTTTGTGATAATAAATTTCCATGTTGTTGTCTATATATGGAAATATTCTGTATCATTTCAGAAATTTCTTTGCCATGTCTTTGGAAATGGTTTCTGGTTGTCAGATGGAAATAATCTCCTTTTTCTGCTTATGTAACATCATCCTGCACGAAAATTCATTATGAAGTAAAACTATAAATTCCATCGCAGGAAGACACTTTCAACTAGAAAGGTGAGTGCAACAAGCGGAGCAGCATCTGTTCCAGATGAGGTTTTCCACAGAGCCAAAGGGGTCCAGCTGTGCAACACCCAAGCACACCAATGCACTCCAGCCTTTTTTGCCGACTCTTTCTTTCTTAATCAGTTCTCTTCCGAAGTCATTGCAGACAGAGCTCCTGTACCTCTCACTGCAAGGGTGATAAGTGAGAGGCACACCATCTCCGTTGTGCCGGTGACGCGTGTCACCATGGCTCATCGTAGCCGGTTGTTCAGCTTCTACATCATTGGGTTTAGCAGGGAGGTGTACTTAAAGGACTACTATCCCGCCAGGTTTTGCTGGGGCTTGTGCCCTTGCCTGGAGTGGTTGAAGTTGTAAGTGCGGCAGATTGTCATCTTCAATAGTGCGCGGTTGTAATTTTTTTTCCTCCTACCATATTTGTGAGTGTTTTGCTCGTTTTGGTGAGATAGAATACTGGTGCTGCTGCATGAGAGAGTGGAATAAAATACATACGTGAATAAATAATATTTGTGGTTGATAATAATCCATGAGGCTTTGTCAAGTTCTTGAATGCTTTCCAAATGGAAGTTGGCCAATCTCTTTTTGTGAAATTAGTTATTTGTGCCAATATCGAATTAATGGGAACTTTAACAGAACTCTTTATGTGGAGTTTGTTGTTGCTTTGTTCAATCAGTGGCTTCAACATGAAGTAAACTTACCCAGATAAAGCTCATGACAGATTTGAGAAAAAAAAACATTGTTCCTTAAATTACCAAGGAAACAAATACCAAACATGGCAGAACCTCACAAGGGTCCTGAGTCTCCCAGATGACTGTAGCACCAAAATCTGTATGCTGTCATGGGAGAAGAATTTGCATGTCACGGTTATAACACTATTTTGCTATCTTCAATCAATCACGCACGTCCATGTGGAAAAATTACCACAAATGACAGGACGTGATTGATTGGAAATAACAGAAACAAAACAATGTTATTGCTGTTATGTTCTTCTCGTGTCATAGGCTTTGCTGACATGGGGCATGCATCATGCATGGCTTTTTGCCAATATAAATGCTGTCTTTTCTTTTTGGTATATAAAACTTGAGTTTGGTTTGGAATTTGGACTATAGACCATGAGAAGAGAATAATCTTCCACCACTTCAAAGTACAAGTGTTCCAATTCAACCACCACTGTTGCTGTCAAAGTATTGAAAGAAAATAAAAACACTAATTTGTAGGTTAGTGGAGGTCCAATCCCCCAACTTCACAGATCCACGCATGTCCATTAGTGCAAGTCGATCGATTGCCCAAACATCATGAACTCAGTGGACTTGCGGTACCGCCTAGATCCACCTAAAATATATTTGCTAGGCGTGTGGACCCTTCTAATTATTTGATTCTCATATGATATGATTGGATACACAAGCCTTGTAGCTCATATTTGTCCTTATTTTTAAGTCTTTAGATGAGCGAAACTGAAAAAAATATTACCCAAATTCAAGCACTTTGTGGAGAAACATTTCGGGTTTCTTGACTTGGAAAATTGAAGCAAAACAGGCATGGTTACCTGAATTTCACTATAATGGTTGAATAATAATATATCCAATTTGACTTGCATTTTGTTGGCCGCCCTATTTTTATTTTTCTTAGGTCATGAGGCAAGTCTTTAGGCAATTATAGCTAGGGCATAAAACATGGTTAGTTGGGTACCCATGTCAAAATAAAATGATTAGTCTCTTATTATATAACTGTTTAGGCATGATCTCCACCTTGTTAACTTCCACTAAATTTCCAATCACTGAAATTCCATTATTTCTCCCCACCGTCGGACACTCCCAAGTCCTCATCCACATTTTCCAAGACACTCAAAATTCAATTAGGACCTTTTCCACTTAGAATATAAAAAATGAAAATAAATTTCATAATTTATCTGGTTTTAATCTAAATATATTCCATTTATATTCTGAATATTTTAGATGAGACCAAAATGATTTGACGATATTCATCCTAAACGACAGGACGTGCTTAGCTTTACACTCGTTTCCACGTTGAATTTTAATCAGGCCCCTCACAATCTCACATCTGATTGGCGCCGCACTAAACCCTCAAAATCCGCACCGGCAGCCACCGACTCATGATCCACTAATCACCGTCCGATCCCCAACTCTCATCATCACCGTAAATAAACCAACCGCTCCGATTTAATCCCAAACAATAATTGTCGCCAATCAAATCCAACGGCAATAAAGACAGAGAGGGTCACAATCCTGTTCCAACGGTTAGATTTATCATGTGTCGACCGGAGACGTACGGTAAAAACTAAATAAGAGACGAAATATGATTGTGTCTGTATGCGAAGCTGGGACTCGTGACACGTTGAATTTCTCTGTATATAGGGGGGATGTCAAGTCAGACGGCTACGTTCTGTGTTCTATGATAAAGTGACAGCGTGGCTGAAAACGAGAATCGAGGAACGTTCCAAAAGCTAGATTTTGCACGGCAGAGAGTCTGTTTATGTGTAATGTCCATAATACCCTTTATGGTAAATGGATACACACCCAACTGACTTTTTATTTTATTTTATTTTGTTTATAATTTATAATACAAGCGTTAGTTTAAAGTACTCTCAATTGGCCAAAGAAAAATAGTACTCTCAATTAATCATCTACATGTCCATAGCTTAGTGGTAAAAGTATTTTGTGCAAATCAGTGATCAAGGGAGACTCGATCTTAGGTAAACAAGCCTAATCCACACAAATACAAGGAAATTGTTTGGTCATTTAATTAAGGAGGGCAAAATATTTAATACTTAATGCATCGTTTAACGATAAGCACAATATCAACCTAAAAAGACATAACCAACTAAATTATTCAAATTCATCAAGAAATTTCAATTGCAAATAGCAAGGAAGAAACAAGTTTACATGATTTGGCAGGGTGTGAATCATTGTGGTGATTAATGTATGAAAAGCAATCGATGCTAATTGAAGAAGGACATGATAAATCGTATTGAAAGTTGAAACACATGCATCTACAAAACCATAAAACTTTTTAAGGTCTACAAGCACAAGACATAGCATGCATCTAGCTTATGAGTCTATGATATTTTGCAGTGGATCTTCACTCAAACTATAAAACGGTGTCGTAACAAATACTAGTCTATCATGTCTGGCTAGACAACATAATTAAACTAGAAAGAAGTAGGTTTCTTAGGCCTAAAGTCACTAAACCATTTTGATCCCACATATGCCACATGGGAGAAATACGAAAACGTAGGGGAGGGGTCATATATATATGTTGCATGATGAGAAATGGGAATGATTGAGTAGACTCCCTCAAAGTAGGAGGCTTCTTAATGATTGATTCCATAAGGCTGGTTTTCATGCCCATTTTATGTAAATATTTATAAAGGAATCAAAGGGTACCACATAACTTGAAGGCATTGACATGTTGGATTATAATTTATAACCATATATGCACGTGAGCGATGAGCAATGTGCGTGCATCTTTGTGGAGTTGGTTATACAAGTGAGTTATGACCTAAATATTTTTTTTATATATAAATGAAACGCTATCAGTGTTACATTATTTGTGATTTAAAAAGTTGGTATGTTCATCCGAAATCAAATCCAATTTTTCAAGAATTAGCCCCCATCCTTAGCAATCAACATACTAATGGAAGGCAAGTTATCAACTCATATTACCTAACACAAAAATGCTTCACTTTTGAGTGCACTACAATGACAAAAAAATAAAAACTATTAGTCACTACACACCAAAATAGTCAATTCCATTATCCTTCCCAACAAAAGTTTAATTTACCCGTACGGCACTTATAAATTTGGCGTTTATGATGAACTTTAAATAATAACAATAATTACAAAGCCGCCAATTGGATTAAGATACATAGAAGATCCTACACATTTACATATTGGATGCTGCTATTACCCAACAAGAAAAAGAGAAAATTTAGCATTATAGGTATTTCGAAAGAACTATTGGGTGTCCATCTAGCACAACTACCCTCATCTTTACTTGAGAAAAAAAATTATGAAAATCAGGGTTACAAGTATTTAGAAAAACATTAGAAGGTGAATTAAGTAACGTAATTTTTCATTGCCAAAAAAATAAGTAAAATTTTATTTTAATTTTTAATTTTTAATTTTTAATTTTTGTGGACATGAAAGAAACAGTTGGATTTTGGTTAAGCACATTGGGGTGACAACAGACGTTCTCTTAATCCAACTGATTAAGCAAAATACCATTTTGATTTTTCACTAAACAGAAAACAGATTGGCACCGAATAGTGCATAAGCACACCGTAACGGACTCGCAACTTTTAGTTGGTTCTTTTCGTGAACTATCAAGGGCAATACCGTCATTTGAGTCTTCCTCTTTAAGCTTTGGCCATGATAAAAACCGGTCTCTCAGAAAATTAGAACATGCGCAGATCCGCTATTAGGAGATTTGAGACAGAGAACCCAAAAAAAAAACATCCACTTCGCAAAAAATCAGAAAATAATAAAGCACCCCTTTGTTCTTGCCTAGGATTTCGGACCACCTTTTTCTCTGGGAACCCATTGTGGAACACATTCGACCCGCAATCCCAACCGACGTATCTGTTTCTCTTTGTGATTTTTATTTTCCCGCAAAGTTAAATCGTACTCAACATTTGATTTGGTTTGGTTTCGAGGAAAAGTGAATCAAATCTGATTATATACAGCGTACATTTTTAGTTTTAGACAACGTTTGTGCCGGCCGGCCATGTCGACCGGTGGCCCGAACAGCTCAACCAACAGTAGCCCAAGACAACCGCTCGCGCTGCCCACGAAGACCAGACGACGGGTCGCCGACGGCCTCATGGACGCCGAGCGACTCCCCACGAGTAGTGTCGTCAACCCAGACAACAACAACAACGTTGTCTACGACGGCGGCGCAGGCGGCGACGATGAGGAAAACGACATTACCCCCAACGGTATCATTTTTGGGCCCTTCCACCACCTCAACGACCACAACCATTATTCGCCCCACCCCGTGATGAAGTATCTCCTGCTTCGGAAGCGGGCCTTCTTCTGCGTCCCCGACACGTGGCTTCCTCTGATTGAGGATGGGTTTTTATGGACGGTCGCGATGCTGCAGACGCTGAGATCGGGGCGGAACATGGGCCGTAAGATATTCGGGGCTCTGTTGTTGATGGCGGTTATCTCCGTGTTCATCAAGTTCTCTCTTTTGAGCCACCATGTGGAGGTGGTCGGCGAAGCGAAGAGAACAGAGGGCCGGCTTTTGATTTTGACGTCGTACAAGGACGACTGGGCCGCCGCTCAGCAAGCCGTCACTGAGAATCAGGCCTTTAATTCCATGCCCCAACGTGTTTTAGAGAGGGAGAGGTTGTCTGAAAGTGAACCCTCCACCATGTTCAAACGCCTCCTCGAGCGGTTGCCGGTGAGTCAATCAATAAATTCTCCCATTTTATAAGTTTTTAATTTTATTAAAATTTTGGGTATTTTTCATTTTTTTTCCGCTACTTGTTTGGTTGCCGAGAAAGTTCAGGAAAGGAAAGAGAAAATGTCTTAATCTTTTTGTTATTAACGTTCACGTTAAAGAATTGACTTTTGGCTCTAATGGGTTTGAATTCAATAGTTGAATGTATTCGTTTCAATTTTGACCCAATTAGTTTCCATATTGTGCTAATTGGCTGATTATGCTTCATACCTTTCTCGTTTCACATTTGTCCGTTTCTCGTTTCCCATTTGTCCCTTTCTCGTTTCATACTTGCCTTCTATTGATTAAATATTTATGGTGGTTAAATTGAAAAGTTAAATGGCTTTTTTAGTTTATACAGTAATTTTATTTGCTGGGTTGAGTTTGCTTCCTAAGGATTTAATGCTGTGATTAATTGGTATTGATCATAAATTTATTTGCTGTTTTCAGACCCCAGAAATTTGGAGGAAACCCAACAGCGACAATTTTGATAAATGCATAGCTCGACCCAGGAATCGGATAAGTATGTCTCTTTGTTCCATGCCTAAATTTGTCAAGCTCTTTATCATGCATGACAGCACTCATCAATTTTTGACTGGTTTTTCAAATATGAATTTCATTTCCCACAGGAACAGGATCGAAAACAAATGGTTATCTGCTGGTTCATGCCAATGGAGGATTGAATCAAATGAGAACAGGGGTAATAATCTTCCTACAAATCTTTGCCACGCATTTTGGATTTTACCTCATTTCCCATTTTTGCACACGTTTTTGAAGCTGACATGGTAACCCAATTGATGTTGTAGATTTGTGATATGGTAGCCGTTGCAAAGATAATGAATGCTACCCTGGTTCTGCCTTTGCTGGACCACCAGTCTTTTTGGACAGATCCAAGGTAGATTTCTTAGCCAATGAGGTTGTTGGATATAGGTGGCTAATTAATTTTATTTTACTGATCAAATTCTGTCTTATATTTGCAGTGATTTTAAAGATATCTTTGACTGGAGACACTTCATGAAAGTACTAAAAGATGATATTGATATAGTGGAGTATTTACCAACCCGCTATGCTGCTCTGAAGCCTCTTCAGAAAGCTCCCATCTCCTGGTCGAAGGTGCAATATTGTTATATATTATCGAGGGACTTTTGAATTAGTTTTTATATTATTAGAATTGTATCTAAAGATGCTTCATATGCAGGCTAGTTATTACAGAAGCGAGATGATCCCATTGTTGAAAAAGCATAAAGTTCTAAAGTTTACCCACACCGATTCCCGGCTTGCCAACAATGGACTTGCATCCTCGATCCAAAGGCTGAGGTGCCGTGCCAATTACGAGGCTCTCCAGTATGCAAAAGAGATTGAGGATCTTGGCGGAGTTTTGGTTGATAGACTAAGGAAGAATAGCAATCCATTTATTGCTCTTCATTTAAGGTATATCTTTGTTCTATGGATTGATTCTTTGGGCATTATCTTGTTCTGAAGTGGTTTAACTAAGTAAAGAAACCTTTCTTGATTGCAGATATGAAAAGGACATGCTTTCTTTCACCGGCTGCAGCCACAACCTCACTGCAGAGGAATCTGAGGAACTTCGGGTTATGAGGTACAGTGTTAAACACTGGAAGGAGAAAGAGATAGATAGTGAAGAACGAAGGCAACAAGGTGGATGCCCATTTTCACCAAGAGAGGCAGCCCTGTTCCTTAAAGCCATGGGATACCCTTCAACAACTACAATCTACATTGTTGCTGGCGAGATATATGGAGGAAATAGCATGGCTGCTTTTCGCTCCGAGTATCCTAATGTCTTTTCCCATTCTACTCTTGCAACAGAAGAAGAGTTAGAGCCCTTTAAGCCATATCAAAATCGCCTTGCAGCCTTGGATTATATTGTAGCACTAGAGAGTGATGTCTTTGTTTACACATATGATGGAAATATGGCTAAGGCAGTGCAAGGACATAGGAGATTTGAAGGATTTCGTAAGAGTATCAACCCTGACAGGTTCGCTTTCATACCAGGCATTTAGTATTTTCTTCTCCAAACTCCCAGCTTTTAAAATGAATTGCTAGTTTTCTGACATGTTATGATTTTCATTTCAGACAAAATTTTGTTAAACTGGTCGATCAGTTGGATAAGGGTGCTATACTGTGGGAAAAGTTTTCTTCGGAGGTTAAAAGTCTGCATTCTGACAGGCTTGGAGCACCATATGTTAGACAAGTGGGAGAGTCACCAAGGTTGGAGGAGAATTTTTACGCAAATCCGTTTCCTGGTTGCATCTGTAACAAGTCAGAGGAGCAAATTGCTAGGCAGAAGTTAGATGAGAGACGGAGCGTAAGTGTTTCATCTCAAAGATAGTATTGGGGAGAAAATATGTGGCTCCTGCTGTTGTGAAATACACAATACCACTGCTCAAGTGGCAGCTGATAATGGGGCTTTGAAATGAAGTGCTTTTTCACTGGGTTTCAGAAACTCTACTTGCTTACAGGGTCGAGAAGTTTTTAAGGTTTCCCTTGTGATTTGCAATGCAAGTTTCGGTTATGTTGTACCTACTACAAGTGAGGAGGGACTTCGCAGGTGATTCAAGAAGGCATTGAAGAAAGCAGAGAAGGTCGAGCTCGCGTATAGTTTTAGGATAAAATCAGATTGTTTCATCAGCACAGAGACCTTGCCGTTGTCAAAATGGTGTTATAGTAATTCATTGATTCAATTATTCTTTCGTTGATTTGGTCTCAACATTGTGAAAAGAAAAAAGAGCTTCACGATGAACTTGAATGTAATTCTTTATACGGCTTATAATAGAAAGGAAGTTTCATACATTTCAAGACGTGTCCCTTTTTTATCAGGAACAATATTGCAATTTATCTATGGTTTCTGTTACCATTGCAAGTAACTGTGATGTGAATTCAAATGCTAGTGTACATTGGATACAATCTTTCTTCTCGCATTCCTAACAGACAAAATTCTCAACCCTCAAGAGGTCATACAACGAACAATATTTCTGAACGACATTGCTATATTTGAAGGCTAGGCCCTAAACTACCACATTGAAGGTACATAAACCTGCTCCTTCAGATTTTGAGTTGCACTTTCTGTAGGAAACCCTCTAACAGCACCGATCGTCCACTGCGATATAATTCCTGCTGCAACTGCAAAACGAAGCTGCCTTTCCAAAACATCCTGATTTTCATACATCTCAGGGTACGTGGTCAGCTTTCTCATAATAGCAGCTACAACAGCATCCCCAGAACCAGTCCTATCACAAGTGAATGGGGTTATGAGCACATCTTCTGTTCCAATCACAACACCATGAAATGAAGGGGAATAGTAATGAATCCGAAGCGTTCCGTCAGTCACGAACAAAAATTTAAGTCCGTCATGCCATAAAGGAGATATTTCTTCAGGTGTGTAATGGTAATAATCTCTCCTCTTCTTGGTCTGTTCAAACTCCTCAGCATAGTATTGGGGCCTGTAATTCCTCTTCCTCACATAATAGTCTTCATCTAGAAGAAATTCCAATTCCTGCCTCGAAACCTCGATTATGTCTGCTTCATTCCAGGCTCTCTCCATATATTTCCTGGTTTCATCATGCGATTTCCATAGAGGCAATGGCAAATTCACATCGAAAAACACAAGGCCCCCAAAATTTTTTGAATAAGACATTGCTCTGAAAAGGGTCGATTGCATTGAGGGAGATGTCAAAACTTCTGAGCTGAAGTGGAATATTCTGGCCTGCATTAAGACATCAAATCCTATTACAAAAATAATCTTATCCCTGTTTCCGGAACAACATCAAACTCCATAAGCAACAACAATCTGAAAAACAATGTGCTCAAACAAACGATTGCTGCATTCTCAATCAACTGAAAAACCCAAAACCAATGAACCATTTCAAAGACTAAGACAACTAAGCCAAGTTACTTGTTTTGTGAAAACATATAAACAAAACACAATCTATTCGCTAAAATTTCATACCTCTTTGAGCACAGCTAGGTTAAGTTCTGAGCTGAGCAAAGAGTTTTCAGCTGACTCTTTCACAGTCTCAGCCCACATTTTCTCATCATCAAACTTAATCTTCATATAAGTACAAGCAGTCTTCGCATTCCTATCGAACTTCACCGCACGCGTCTGAACCTTCTCCTTGTTCATCATCAACACCAGCTCATCCCCAAAATCGTCGTCCCCAACTTTGCCCATGAACGCGGCCCTGCCGCCGAGCCGCACGTGCGAAATTGCCACGTTGGACGGCGACCCGCCAGGGGCCCTCACGAACTCCGGCGGGTCCCACTGGAGCATCTTCCACTGCGAGTAGATGTCCGGGTGCATTGGGTTGTCGGAGACCCGAACCGTGGGAACAAACTCTTTCTGCGCGGCGCCGAAGCAGCAGACCAGAGGAGGGTCGTCGTACGGAAAATCGATGCCGTCGTCGTAATCTTCGAGCTCAGAGTCTAGGTTTTCGGTTTGGATTGTGGGTTTGGCAGTTTCTACTGTGCCATTTTCGGCCTGGGCTTTTTTCGAACTCTTGGTCTTTTTCGGTGGAGATGCTGCTGAAGAAGATGAAGAGGAAGTGGGACCCTTTTTCCTGCCTCGGCGAGTGGGTTCGCTGGACTCGATGCTTCCGTTGTCTTCGCCATTAATGGAAGCTCTAGGTGGGTTTAGCTTGTGTGATTTGGGTGGTTTAAGCAGATAGCGGGGCTTCAAAGTTTGGTGCTTTAGAGGTTCTGAAGGTTTAGCAATTAAGCTTCTGGAGCTTGTGCGAGAGAAGTGAAATTGGTGAAGAGGAAGATATGGTGGAAGTAGCTGAAACGAAGCCATGGTTGAGTGGAGTGTTAGGGTTTATCCATGCTCGTCACCAACCTCCCTCTCAGTCCCTCTGTAAAAATTTTATCGGGTCGTCATATATTGGACTCAAAAGTCGGGTCGGATCGACACAAAGTGAGGAAATGTTAAAAGCGGTACACGTGGACCATCCTGAACCGTCCGATCAAAAGTTACAAAATTCTGACCTTGCTCGGGTTAGTGCTTAAATCCTTGTTTTGCGATACCTTTCCTTTGTCTCGTTGAAATCAAGGCGAAGGCTTTCAACCGAGAAACTACTGGTTTTCTTCTGTTAACTTGTAATCGCTGGTAAGAGTTCGATTCAATTATGTAAAGTTCATGCCCTTCAGTTTTGATCAGTTTCCCACTTTGAATTTATATCCACGGTTAGATTTTATCAGTCTGTTTCAATATTGACTGTTGACATAAATCATAAAATACCATCTATCGTTTCTGCCATAATCCTTCATACCCTGTTCAGGATTTGCACAGTTTCTGCTGGGGCTTGAAATTTTAAGATTGACTCTTTTAGACTCGTTGGCTGAATTTTATGTCTGCATGAAATTTCATAAAACTTTTTGACTGATAGTTAGGAACTGAGATGTTGAAGCCTCTCTCTGTTATGCAGATAATGGGGTTGTGGACTTTGCTCCAAGGCTTTTTGCTACTTGCAAATGCATTTGCTGTACTGAATGAGGATCGGTTTCTTGGTCCGAGGGGGTGGACCTTGCTACAAATTCAAGGAGGAAAAACCACGCTTAAGGGACAGATTATAGGGTTTATACATGCATGCCAATACTTCAGATTACCTCTTATAGTTTTGAACATCATAACCATTGTAGTGAAGCTAATCTCTGGGTGAAGCTCTGTGTGATTTATGCCTCTTTGTAATTTATGAATTTTGGGCTAGTTAACATGTTTTTGATCCATGGCCTTCGTTGTTGTTGTAGACTACATATAGTACCTTATTTGAATTGAGTTTCAAAGTTTTCCCCTTTTTACTTCTCCTTTGTTTTGTTTTTTGTTCACAAGAAACACAAGAGAATCGGGATGCAGATAGCTTATTGAGTTGATGGTAGTGTGTTGATTGAAGTTTGTCATGCTAAAATTAAGCTGTTGGTTACTTTCTTCATCTTTGTTTCTACATATAAAAGGTCTTAGGTTAGCCCAAGTAGTGAAGGGAGGATGAAGTTCAATTTCCTCCATGTAACGAAAAAAAGATGGGCATATAAAATTATTCTACATTTTAAGAGGGGGTGTGAGTACAGAATGTGGATCGGTTTGTTGAGAGGTCCATGAAGCTTTTGTAAGATGATCTGGTGCGGTGTTCATGGCCTCAGCATTATGATTATGTCAAATTACTTAGTGCCTTATATGCAGCTCAATTTGCTAAAGCAGATGTGTTGTAAAATGGAAAAACTTTAAATGGTGACTTGTATATTCGGCAGAAAATTACATGGCTTTATTTATTTCATACTGAATGTGAACAAAACAGAGCGGCATACAATAATCTGAGAAACTACTACTCAATTCGGATCATAACCTCATTGGTCCTGAATAGAGGCAAAGTCCAAGGAGGGTTATAACTTGCCATCAAAAACTCCCTCTGCTTCAGCTTCTCCACCTTCTCAGTAGCCACACCCCTCACCACCCCATATTTCCTCTCACCGTCTTCCCTAATAACTGTTGGCTGAGTCCTTATTTAGTCAGGATTTTGGTTACTTATCGTTGGCTATTCCTTATTTAGCCAGGATTTGAATTTTGGTTACTTACCGTTGTCTATTCCTTATTTAGTCAGGATTTTGGTTACTTACCGTTTATACAGTCTTACTTATCAGTTTATATTGTCCTATTGTAATTGACATTTATTTCCTATTTTATATATTTTAGGATTAACACATCTTTATAAATACCTCCATATTAAAGAAGTCTTTTGGCTTAAGAGTCTCCTCTTCTTTCCATGCTCGTCAGCAACCTCCCTCCTCCTCAGTCCCTCCCTCTGTAAAATTTTATCGGGTCGTCATATATTGGACTCTTCGTGTTTTGCCCCAGCAAGGATTTAATGGCTTTACTCAAGGGACTGCCTTCAGGCTATATATGTGCCGTAGATGAAATGTGAGAGAAACTTTCTTCATCTTTCTATGTAAATTCTACATAGAAAAGGTCTTGGGTTAGCCAAGTAGTGAATGTAATGTAAAATGGAAAAACTCTAAATAGTGATTTATATATAATCGACAGAAAATTACATGTTTTCATTTATTTAATACTGAATATGAAAAAAAAAACAGAGCAGCATACAAGAATCTGAGAAACTACTCAATTGGGATCATAACCTCATTGGTCCTGAATGGAGGCAAAGTCCAAGGAGGGTTATATCTAGCCAGCAAAAACTCCCCTATAATCTTATACCCATCTCTCTCTAAGCTCTGCTTCAGCTTCTCCACCTTCTCTTCCACCACCTCATCTGTAGCCACACCCCGAAAAGTCACCACCCCATATTTCCTCTCACCCTCTTCCCTAATCACCACCCTCTCATCCACAGGCCTAGGAGCCTCCTCTGCCTTCTCATACTTAGAAGGCAACAGAAATTCCATTGTCACCATCTTCTTCTCATCTTCAGCACCACCAGTCTTTGTCACAACTGGAGCCGTCATGGCAATTTTTTCAGCTGAGCTTTTGGTTATGACTGGAGCTGTCATGGCGATTTTTTCAGGCTTGGTGTTCTGTGGGTTTCCAAAGGCGCCTATGTAATTGGCCAGCACAGTAAAGCCGCCGTCTTTGTCGCCCTTCATCTGCGATGGATGGTAGGTTAATTGGGCTATCACTGAAGGTGGATATTGCCGGATTTCATAGTCGATTGTTGATTGAAGCACTTTGTATTTTGGGGTTTCCACTCTTATCTTTCCAAAAACCATGCCCATGTTGGAAGAACTAAAGTTTGCTTCTCTCACTCTCAGGGTTTTTGATATGGATATGGTCCTTCAAAGGTGCCTATAAAAGTGTGGATTGTTCTGGTCTTGTATATATCTCTATCTTTGCTTGGGAAGGGGGTTCTTCTTTTTTACTTTTCCAATATTTTGATGTGTTTGCTTGGGGAGGAGGTTGGAAATGTGCAACTGCACTCTTGAACGAGTGGCTGATTTTGGTGAAGAACATGTGGATACAATTTGTCCAGCATTTCTTCCTTCCCCCAAACCCAACCCCACCCTCCTCCCGGCACAATTTGTCCACCATTTAAAAGGGTCTTTCTATCACGTGGCAATTTTCGACACGTCTCAATATATAAAAGATAATAAAAGAAAAATAATATCTATTATTGCTCTAAAATATTAATAAAACGTATTGAATTGAAAAAAGTCATTGATTGCAACGAACTTATAGTTCAACTGGTTAAAATATTAATAAAACATAGTTCAACTGGTTAAAATATTAATAAAACATATTGAATTGAGTGGTTAAAATATTAATAAAACATATTGAATTGAGAAAAGTTATGGATTGCAACGAACTTGTAGTTCAATTGGTTGAGAGCATGGCATTTAATCATGTATTCGAGCTCTTGAATTTTATTCCCCCTCCACCCAAATATCACATGTATAAGTAACAAGTTCAATTGGTTGAGAGCATGGCATTTAATCATGTATTCGAGCTCTTGAATTTTATTCCCCCTCCACCAAAATATCACATGTATAAGTACCCATTCAATTTTGCACCAAGCCAGCCCAAAAATATATTTTCCCATCTCATTGATATCATTGGTTAAGTCCAGTATTTTTCCATCTCAGGTCAATATTTTATTTTATTTTTTATTTTCTTAACAATAATCATATGCAAATTCCTAACTTTTGCCTCAAATTGAAGAAAAACCCCAACTTTTTGCAAGAATTAAACCAGAAATTCAAACTCATATCAAGATCTAACCGATGATTAGTGTCCCATCTAAGGTCAAGAAAAAAAAATCTAAACAAAAAAAAA